ACCACAGCACCTGCTCACCTCTTTGCCTGGAGCTCCGTGCTGCGGCAGGCCCAGGCTGTGCTGCTGGAGCCGGCACGCTGTCTCCGCTCTGACCCCTCGCTCTCTTTTTGGCAGGCAGCTGCGCTGCTGTTGGTCTCCCTTCTTCCAAGCCCTTGCGTTTACATCCAGCCTGGGCCTTGGAGTCGGAGTGGGGGCACACGGCAGGGGAAGGTCTTCCCCCTGTGCTGGGACCTGCTCTTCTGGGAAGCCCTCCAGCCTGGAGAGGAGCTTCAGCTGCTGCTCGGTGACAAGCTCTCTCAGAACACACCTGCTGCACCACTTTCACACAGATATTGCCATTTGGCTCAGCACCAATCTCTGTTAAGAAAGGAGAAGCAACAAGATTTAGCAAGAGCCCAACGCTACTTTCATCTGCAAAATGGGCCACAATGCTAGGACATCTCATCTGGAGCATTCATGGTCATGGATCTTAGGATCCCGGGTGAACTGTGGGTTCACATTTCTAATCAGTGCAGGAATGCTAACTGTGATTAGGACCACAACCAACACGCAACGACAACAGTCCCAGGAAGGGACAGACAGAAAGCCTAACTAGAAAGCCAGTGCACCAAACCCCGATGCCTGTTGTGTGTCTGTACCTCTCTTGGGTGCCATGTCACACTCGGTGCTCCTCCTCTGCCTTTCCGCATGGCTGCGCTTCAGAGGAAGGCCACTGGCATCAGCTTCTGACAGAAAGAAAACAATAAAGTCATGAAGAGCATCTCCTTGGAGAAAGACTTCAGCACAGTCAGCCACAAACTTCTGGTCCTCAAGTGTAGTTTCTTCAATTGGCCTTTCCGCTGCTACAGCCTTGTGCCACTTCTGCAGTCAGCACAGAACTGCAGTGCCCTTTACTCTCCCCTCCATCACACACTGCCCCTCATGCAGCCCTGCTTAGAGGCAGGTACCCACACCACAGCTCACAAGAGCTTCTTACCTGCAGAGGCTTTCCGTTTCCCCCCATGCCCAGCACCATTCCACGGACGCGCAGCCTCCATCCCTACAACAACAGATCGTGTGCTGATTTCACAGACATCAGGAGCAGCGTTGTCCTGTTAGCCCATATCCACCCCCCAAAAACCATAAGACACCGTTCTACAGCCAGAACAGAAAATGATGTTAGAATTGCAATGCACTTACACAGAGCATTACTGCTCTCACTCCTGCTCAGATGGCAGCGGAGGAACCCCAGTC